TAATCAAGCCTAGATGTAATGAATGCATGTATTACTGTCTCCAGGTTATGTTTGGACAATATGGGCTTCAGTTTAGACAGCTGCCTCAGTTGGAAGAAACATGATTTAACAATCATGTTTACATGATTGTTAAGTTTCAGGGAAGGGTCCATTATCACTCCCAGATGAGTGACTCTTTGTTTTTCTGACAGGGTTAGAGTGGAAAGGTTGATGCAGTGGTTTGTGATTGTGTCATTGGGAGGGAACAACATGACTTCAGACTTCTTTTCATTGAAACTTAAGAAGTTTAAAGTCATCAAGTCCCTGATGTCAGCCAGGCAGTCGAGCAGAGGTTGAATAGAGCATGTACCATTGTGTCTTAGGGGGAAGTAAATTTGACAGTCGTCGGCATAGAAGTGAAAGGGTATGTTGTGTTTCCGGAAAATAGCACCAAGTGGCAGCAGGTATAGAGAGAATAAGAGGGGACCCAGGATGGACCCCTGCGGAACCCCCCATTTAAGCTCTGTCGCTGCAGAACTAAAATCCTCGATGAAGACACAAAAGGATCTGTCAGTGAGGTAGGATCTGAACCAATTGAGAGCTGACCCTGTGATGCCCACCCATTGCTCCAACCTAGCAATGAGGATCTCATGGTCGATGGTGTCAAAGGCGGCTGTGAGGTCCAATAGGACAAGCAGCACAGAATCACCAGTATCTGTGGATCTGAAGATGTCATTAAAAACATTCAATAGGGCAGTTTCAGTGCTGTGGAAAGGTTTAAAGCCAGATTGGAATAGCTCTAAGATGCGTGATCCTCCAGGAAGCACTTCAACTGGGACTCAACTATTTTCTCCAGTATTTTAGAAACAAATGGGAGTTTGGAGACAGGCTGGAAGTTGGAAACGAATGAGGGGTCAATGTTTGTTTTTTTCAGGAGAGGCTGGACATCAGTATGTTTAAAGGTTTTTGGCACCACGCCAGTGGATAAACTACTGTTTACTATAGCAAGAATGGACGGACCTAAGTAGGAAAAACCTCCTTTAGTAGTCGAGGGGGGACCACATCAAAGGGCGAACCTGAAGGTTTCAAGCTGCACATGACCTGCTCTAGAGAAGACAGAGTGATGGGCTCAAAATGGGCAAAGAGAACTACAGATTGAGGTAGGATGGATGGGTCATGAGTTGAAGGGGAAATGAGAGCCCGGGTGGTCGCAATTTTTTCCAAAAAGAAATGTAAGAAGTTCTCGCACAGCTCAGTCGAGGCTTCCAGAGGTGATGGTTCAGTGAGGTGGAGAACAGAGTTTAGGTTAGAGAAGAGGACACGTGGGTTGTGAGAGTTTGAGGTTATGATATCAGAAAAGTATTTGGATTTAGCAGCTTTTACTACTTTCTGATAACGGCGCCAACTCTCTTTAAGTATTTGAAAAAAGACCTGCAGCCTGTCTTTCCTCCATTTGTGCTCTGCCCTCTTACGTTGCTGCCTAACGGACTTGGTGATGTCACTCAGCCATGGTTCTGCTTTGAGTTTTGATTTTCTAGTTTTAACATGAGCGACATGATCCAGAGTCTTTAAGCAGACAGAGTTGAACTGGGATGTCAGCGCCTCCGTGGTGGTGAGAAACACCGGGGGCTGAATGATCATTTCAGAGTTATAAGTATCTGTGAAACGTGCGGCAATGAAGTGGTTAATGGCCCGGATACTACGTGCAAGAATGCACGGCTTAGGAGTTAGATGGGAGAGGGTGAACTCCAACTGGACTGGCATATGGTCTGAAAAAACATTATCACCAATTTCAAGATTACTAACAGTCACATCACGTGTTAAAACAAGGTCCAGTGTATGTCCGCGCTCTTGGGTGGGACCGTTTACATGCCGAGTTAGATTAAATGAGTCCCATAAATCTAAAAAGTCCTTAACCAAGGGCTTCTCCTGACAGCACAAATGCAAATTAAAGTCCCCAGTAATGAAAACATGATCATATTTTGGTGTGATTTCAGCCAAGAAATCAAAAAACTCATTTATGAAATCCTTAGTCCAAGGTGGGTGGTAGACGAGTGCACATAACGTCTAAGGCGAATGGCCGAGTTCAAAGACGCTCAGCTCAAAGCTGGCGCGAGAAACTGGGATGGGCAGTTGTTTACAGTCAAAAGTTGGTTTGAATATTGTTAATAATCCACCACCGCGCCGGCCTGATGGCCGCGGTGCGTTAAAATACAGACAGTTCGGTGGCAATAATTCCGTCAAGGCGCTGGACTCACCCGGAGACATCCAAGTCTCAGTAATGTAACAGAGGGAGCTCTTGCACATGTAAGCAGGAAGAGAAAGTGAGGATGCCGAGGTAAATGTTATACACACTATATGCAGTTAAAACAGTCATTTAAGAATGATGAGCATTGTAATTTAACTGGACGTTTTTGATGCACTGATTTGTTATCAATCAGCGCATCCAAAACCCACTTATGTTTTTTTTTGTGGCCGGCAAAAAACAAAATAAAATAAAAATCAGGCCAGTATTTTCTTTTTTCCATATTAAAACAGATCGTCTGAAAAGTGTTGGGTTTGAAAAACAAGGCAAAACACTCAAACTGTGTGATTTCAGAAACACTTCCCAAGTATTTGAAATGTATCGTCATGTTGACTTTGATGGGTGTTCTGCAAGTAGCAGACTGACAACCAAATGCTTTTCACCAGACTGTTTATAAAGTGGGCAGCACGGTGGCACAACTAGTAGAGCTGCTGCCTCTCAGCGAGCAGGTCCTTGGTTCAAACCCAGGTCCAGGGGCCTTTCTGGGTGGAGTTTGCATGTTCTCTCTGTGCATGCGTGGGTTTTCTCCAGGTGCTCCGGTTTCCTCCCACAGACCAAAAACATGCATGTTAGGCTGATTGGTAACTCTAAATTGGCCCTAGGTGTGAGTGAGAGAGTGAATGGTTGTTTGTCTCGCTTGTCTCTATGTGGCCCTGTGATGGACTTGCGACCTGTCCAGGGTGTACCCCGCCCCTGGCACAGTGATTGCTGGACATGGGCACCGGCAACCCCCGCGACCCAAAATGGAATAATTGGGTAAAGATAATGGATGGATGGATGGATGGATGGATGGATGGATGGATGGATGGATG